CTTCCTGATATTATTTAATCTTTTACTTCAGTTTCAAGCTTTACATCTGTTGTTTGGGTCTAAAGGATCAACAAGTCTGTTATCCTTGTTTAAAAAAGCATTAAAATACCATTATAAAGACACCCTTTGTTTAGAAAGTTTCTGTTTTCTGATTTCTGACAAATGGGCATATTTTCTATAGATTACAGCTCTACTTGTTACCTTCAGTGTGCCTGTCAGTATTCATTATACACTTTGATTAAATAAGTGCCAAAAAATCACCTTTGATTTGATGGTGTAACTCTAACCGGACTCCTGACTTTGATTATCTCTCCAGCCAGACTAAACTGTGCTCTGCAGCCAGCTGTTGGAGAAATATCCAGACACCCGAGAGATGACCCCACAATTATGAAAATGAAGTATTAATAGCTTGAAATTGCACCCAAATGGCCATCATGCAGGCACACACGAGAAAGCTGTTTGTTTTTTCTTTCCATTGAAATCATTAGCAGAGTTTGGAGACTTTTCTTGGATGGGGTTCAGAGGTATTTTGGACATTTGCAGTGTGTGAAAATAGGCAGTATGTGCGCCTGTGTGTGTGTGTGTGTGTGTGTGTGTATAAACCTGTGCATAGTTTTTTCTGTATCTAACATCTGAACATTAAAGCTTTATTTGACATGTATCTGGCAAACGGGCTATTGCCAAGTTAGCATCAAATTATGGCAATCTGTGTTAGTGTGTGTGTGTGTGTGTGTGTGTGTGTGTGTGTGTGTGTGTGTGTGTGTGTGTGTGTGTGTGTGTGTGTGTGTGTGTGTGTGTGTGTGTGTGTGTGTGTGTGTGTGTGAGCGAGAGGGAGAGAGAGAGAGAGAGAGAGAGAGCGAGCTTACTCTCAGGGCAGGGGGAGGTTTCTGTGCAGATTTATCTCAGCTCATGCCGGGCTTTATCTACATATTTCTACCTATTCCATCACACAAACTTCAGGATTTAGGAAAACTAAATGAGAAGAAGAGTTGGGTCGATGTCGCCTAAATGCTCAGATCAGTTTGATTAATCAAGGGAGTTGTATCTCTGAAGCAAAACAGATACCTAAAGTTTTCTAGAAATGTTCAGAAACATGAAGTGATTCTTGTTGCACATTAAGATTGTCTACTTATTTCTGTCGTTTATACTTCAACTCAATCAGCTGTGCAGGAGTCCAAAGCAAAACCAAAGAATGGATCAATTTCAGTTAAACGTATATAAAGAAAAATCAGTCACTGGTCTGTTGATATGAACTATGTATGGCTGAATTATGGATTCAGTTTACTGAAAAGTTTTTCTCCACTTTGACTTTTTTTCTACTTTTTTTAAGTTTGGCGCAATCTATCAACCATCTATAGACTTGCTTTGTTATTTTTCATTTCAAGAATAAGGAGTCAAAGCAATGCACAGTGTCACATGGCTAAGCAATCCTGTCAAACAGATTTGGTATCAGTTGAGATGCACAGTGTTTTTCTGTAATTACTGTTGAGTACCTCTCTGTATTCAGGTATTAAGTTCTGAGGACAGTTTTGTGGAAGAGCAGATCAGTCCAAGTGTTTCACTGTTGCTTTCTTGTAAACATGTATCTGACTCTGCCTGTATCAGTCTGGATCACATGCAACTTCTGTGTGGACCCCCTGCTTAGCATAAGGTGGATGAGACTCTGAAAGTAAGACAATTTCTAGGTCTAATCCTAATTGGAGCCAAAGAACCGTGAAACTGGGATGATCCGACAGTGCCTGGTGGTTAACTGTTGTGTTTATGTGTGGCATCAGAGCCTTTGGTTTATAATTCTATATCCAGTCTATGGTTGTAACCATAGACAACCATAGTCACACATTTGCGGTTGTTCTGAAGCCTACCAGAACTGAGCAATATTAATAATGCTGACTCAGCCTTTTTTTTTTTTTTAAGCTGCCATATTTGACTAGTTTGGATAAAGAACAGGCTGTACATGCACCTGAGAAAAACAATTAATGAATGGGGTGCTTTTTTTGGTTTACTCTCTTGGAAAACAAGCTTGAGCATAAGGTGGATGAGACTCTGAAAGTAAGACAATTTCTAGGTCTAATCCTAATTGGATATTACTATAAAATGCTAAAGGAAAAATCTTGAAAGCAACTCATATTCTGATTATATATCAGAGTACCTCATTTTTAGAGGCGTATCCCACCACAATACTGGTCAATAAGCCATTTCAACATCATCTGATATGCGAGACACCTCCTCACAGGCAAAAACGAGATGCTCGGTCAGTGTTACTCACAAGATTGATGATGCAGAGTGTTTTACTTCTTTCTCTGGCAGTCTTTTCTTCTTCTGTGGCTGCATAATGTGAGGCTACTATAGCTGATTATATGGCCCATTTCCTCTCCTTTCTCACTCTCTTTTTCACCCAGTGCTAAAGAGGAACATGTTGCATCCTGACAGAGACATGCAGCTTTACCTTCCTTTCGATGGTAACTGCCTCCTGTATGAATGGCCTGAGAGAGATCGAGTTTCTGAGCCACATACTAATTTAATCAAGCAGCATTGTTAACAGATGTCACTGTACAGCGCCTGGCCCATTGATCCTTCATCAGCATGTGTTACTGCAATCAATACCCTCATTAGTGAGCTGTCAGGGCCAAGGAAATGCTGAAAGAGAAAGCCTTTTTCATGTTCGATTACAGTGCAAGCGCTGAGCCGCTGTCCAACTCTGGGGCTGGCTGAGCTTTCAGTGAGCTCTGGGAGTGTTTCACATCACACCAGGGAGCACAGACCGAAACAAGAAACATGATTTTTATATTTGTTGGAGAGTTTGAGGAATGGATGATATTCACGCCCGTTTTGTGGTTGATTGTAATGGAGTCTCATGTGATTCATAATATCCAAGACAGATGCAACCCCACACTAAGACACAAACACAAACTCAGATAGCCTCACCCTTTCACGTGTACACACGTAATTAGTAATGAAATGCAATGACATGCATGCATAGTTGGTGTTTTGTTGCAGACACAGACCCAAGCAGACTGAGGAATAAATTTCCATACCGTAATGTACATGTGGAACACACGTTCACAGGCATGTCAATGCCCACAAACACATGTGCTGATTCACCAGACATTTTCCACCATAAAAATACAGGACTTACCTTTTTGAGAGGAACATACTTTCATGTGTGGTTTATGACCTGTTACAAGTTCTGCTGATAAAAACACGTACTCCATCAGCTTATGAGCCACCACACCTGATGCTCTCAATCTCTTTTTCTTATCTGACTCTGATCAGAGGTTCTCTGAATCCTCTTTACATCTCCCGGCAGAAGGCAGACCCCATCTGTCGGACAATATTGCTGGGGCGGTGCAGGTCTATCAGTAATACAGTCATCATACATTTTTATGATATTTCCTGACATAAAAAACTTTTTTTGGAGAATATAATCAGATAACAGCTACTGAGGTGGGTTTGAAACAGTGTTATTACATTGAACAGAAAATGTTTTCAGGCAGAGCATCATGCAGCTGTCCCACTGAGCAGGACCACATTTAAATTGCATACTTGATTCTGATGAGCCAAAACCCCCAAACAGGAGTATTAATACTCAGCGTGTATGAGAGTTAATTGAAATGGACATTTGCATCTCACTCACCTCACTGGGATTCCATCACTGAACTTTTACCAGATTGGTGTCCAGTTCATCTCCACTTTGATCAGGAATAGCTTCGTGCCCCCAGGTCATCAACACCCACCCATGGCATTTTCAGAACACAGCATGAAGCAGTACGGCCAGACAATAGCAGTCACAAAGCCAAGAATTTCCTATGATGAATACAGAAACATAGTTAATGTCTGTCTCCACAATGAGCTCGGAAAAGCTTTGACCCATTCACTCCAAGCCCGGCTTTCTTAACTATGACAGTTTGTTGGTGTAGTTAACTGTTGCAAAGGTTGCTGGATGCAGATGGAGCAGAAACACAACAGAGCGAATAAGAAATGCGCCAATGTCAGTCAAAATACATACTTTTGACCACAAAGAAGAAAATCTATTTGCTCTGCTGCTAAAATGAAGTGGAGATGGATGAAACATGGATCTGGTGGAATTTAGGGGTTACACTCGGAACCATCTGCTCACTTCACATTTCCACTGACATATTAAAGAAAAAGATCAGTTCTTATTGAAGTGGGGATGTATGAGGTGCAACCACAACAGATGGGATCAGTTTTATTACACTGAGCCAATTTATGAAAATCTAACCAATTATGAGGATGTTTTAGCACTTAATTAGCATTCCCAAAGCCACTTTTGGACATGACCAAGCATGTTCCTATGACTGCAGCAAACTTACTATTCTGTTAGCAACCTTTTACAACCCGAGTAAATATAAATAAATACATGAATAAACTTAAATGTGATTTTTTTAATGTATTATTTATTCAGAAACAAATGGAGCAATCATTACTTTTGGAAAATTACTTTATTTCAGAATTTGCTCCAATGTAGAAAAATGATGTCAAACCTTTTATTTTATTTTCAATGTCAATCGTCATGTCTGCTGTCTTTATTTGTTTGACAGTCAAACATTTCTGTTATTGTTTATGATTATTGAATTCAGTGCCTGAATTGGTTGATGGCCTGGCTCTGCCTCAGCGTACAAGTCTTAAGTCACAAGTATCTACCCTGCAGCCCTTGAGGTATTACTTCTGCAACAACCAGATAAAAGACAAAAAAAAAATCCTCATGTATTTAGACATGTTAGCAACGGTGGTGCACACATGCGTATATATGCATGCACTCTTAACCTCCTGAAAGACATTATCAGATTTCTGTATCTGCAAGCAGCCTTCTCCACCCTCATGTATTTGGATTTCACTATTACTTAACAGCAGCTAATAAACAATTTATGCCACTTAACTGGGGTAATACATTATATCCTGACAAATGGTTGAGTAAGCTTCTTCACTTTCTCTCCCTCTCCATTTCCAGTTGTGGAAAACAAAATACTTGGCGCTCAGCCATGGACAACACTGAGGCCCAATATCTGCAGCATGCTCATATTATGAAAGCAGGAGAGTTCAGCGAGGCCCCATTCACTGAGCAGGTATTAGGTATTGAATAACTGATCAGCATGCTAATGAAATATGGATAGCGTGTTTCTGGTGATACATGGATACTGCTGCGGCTCAGTCAGGCTGCAGGCACTCTCACAACCGCATTTTGTTGATTTGTAACAAACTCGGCAGAAATTTGACAAACTTGTTATCAGTCTTCATCTTCTGTTGGCCTGGTATGTGGACATTAAAACACATATATAGCTAGATAAGAACAGAAATAACTTATTTCTGACTTGCCTGTATGAACATATCTTTCTTCAAAAAAGCTCCAGATGATAAAAAGTTATAACTGATTCAATGATAGATTATATGGTAATTTAATCCACTTGAAGAGGTCCAAGGGATTTAGCACAGAGTGTAACATATGCATCTTTTCTTTTCTTTTTTTTTTTTTTGCTAGAACCAGCGCACGTGTACGAACAAGCATGCCAGCACAGACCCACACAGATGGTTACATACATAAATACACACATGTCTAAGGAAAACAAATGATTCTCCCAACACATGCACTCACACTCACACACAAATGGGCACACAAACAGACACACACTCCTCTGTGTGCTATCAGTCCTGCGTGTGTCTCCAGAGGGAAACTGTATCAGACAACAGAGGTCATGTGACCCGGGGAGTCAGGCTTCCTTAATCCTACTGTCAGCCCTAATTGGGCAGCAGGGGATTGATCAAGTATGCTCTTTGTGTGTGTGTGTGTGTGTGTGTGTGTGTGTGTGTGTGTGTGTGTGTGTGTGTGTGTGTGTGTGTGTGTGTGTGTGTGTCTTTGCGCAGATTCTCATTGCTGAAGTTCATTTGCAGATGAACTTTTATGTCCACAGTCTGGAGAATTCAGACACAGAGAAAATACATTTTTTGCTCCTTTTCACGAATAACAATCAAACAATAAATTAACTTAAAATTTCAATATTTGTTCATCTTTTTAAAACAGATGAGGCATACTAAGATAAAATAAACACTATCCCTTACAGTGTAGAGGATAGATAAGGATTACTATGTTGGGATATGTCATACACAAGTTATCTGATTGGACAACTTACTAAAGCCTCATGATCTAATTTTGCTGCCTGTGTAACTCATTGTCATCGTACAAAAAAATGACATCTAAAATCAAGAGTCCATATCAACGTCACCAGTAGAGGGCAGTACTGCTAAAACCACAGTTTCTCTGTCCTGCTCTCTCTGAAACACACAAATCATACCTGAAACATGCATCATCTGTGCTGTTTCAGGAAGGTTTTAAGCCTTGCTTTGAGGGCAGACATGTATTTGTTGAACAAAACTATAACAAATGGCACTTCGATAAGTCCCATAACAGCAGAAAGAGACAGGGAAGGTGGCTTTAAATCATGACACACATGACCCATCAGTGCATCCAAGGCTACAGGAATTCACAGGATCTTCTTCATCCTTATCCCCTAGACCACCATTCATCTGTGAGCTCTTTACTCTGTGAGGGAAGTGGCTGTGTCTCAGCCTGAGTTATATGTTTCTGGAGAGTAAAGGTGAGCTGTTTTAAGCAAGACATAGTGCAACATGCACAAAACTCCAGATGGATGTAAAAAGTGACAAGCTGGGTGAAACTAACCAGACTTGGCACCGCAGATCGCCGAAGACATCCATCAAATACAGCAAAGTCTCAAGCATTTTTTAAACAGCTTTTTTTTTTTTTTTTTAAATGTTCTCTAATTCCCTAATTTTCAGGGTTTTTTCTCTGTGGACTCAGATTATTACAGACTTACAATAGACTTACTAAGTTTATTACTAAACTTGGTAAGTTTATTGTGCTTACTAACATGCAGGATCACCCCTCTGTGGTGTTTTGTTAAAGATCACAGTTTGATGTTTTACTTTGTTTTTGTCTTTTTGAGGATAGGAGGTATATGATCATTTACCCCCAAAGCAATTCAAATATTGTGTGAAAACATCCACAAGTTTTATTGTCCATGAAATATGTAGACCAGACTCTTTACTTGTTTGATGAGTCTTAGTGGTGAATAAATACGGAAAAAACTTTTCTTAACAGTTCAACAAAACATGAAAAATACTCAAATTAACCCAGTGAGGAATATTTTGGCAGTCATAAATTAACTGACTCTATCCTGAGTGCTAAATACTTGTGTATGGAGTGTCTGTGTCTCACTGTAGAAACCCTACAAACTTTTGTGTTGCTGTTGCAAATTGTGTTGTTAACCAGCTGTTGATTGTGCTCTAGTTTTGTGGAGAAGATAAGAGATGATACGTTGGTGGAGAGGAGAGGGAATACAAAGCAGCTGAGGTAGCGGACCGGGAGCAGCTGTGATACCAGAAAAGTTCACCACTGAGTGGACCAATCACAGGGCCTTGGTTCTGCATCATTCTGACACTATTCTGACAAAAATGGGAAAATTATTTTGAAAAGTAGATTTCTATGTGTACTTGCAGAGTCATATCTTGTACTGGGTGGAACTTTCTTGAGTGGCAGATGTGCTGTTTTGATTTAAATACAGAGAGCCTTTGTTTAGACAGGTAAATGAGCTGAGAAAAACACACAACAAAAACCACTGCTACGCCTGATCTGATTACATTGCACAAGTGTTCGTGCGTGTGTGCAGGCATGTGTGGGAGCACCGGTGTGTGTGCAAACTGTGTGTGGGAAAGAGGGAGAGAGAGGGAGTGAGTGAGAGAGACGGTGTGTGTGTGTGTGTGTGTGTGTGTGTGTGTGTGTGTGTGTGTGTGTGTGTGTGTGTGTGTGTGTGTGTGTGTGTGTGTGTGTGTGTGTGCTTACCATAACATAACAGCAGGTTATGAGGTTAGGGTGCCTGTGTTTATTTGTTTGTCTAGCAGATGCCCTTATGCAGGGCACTCAGCTTGTGGCTCATTTAACACATCCACATATTTACACAGCTGGATATGAAGTGATAGAGAGGCGGCTGTGGTCGGCCACTTTAATATGACTGTTTAACACAGAGAGGGCTGCACAGAGGCTTTCCTGTCGTTCACTTTCATTCCTAAAACTTCTCCTTATCTACGTTTTATTGTTTCTTATTTTTTGGATTTGAGTGTTTATCTTCTTTGTTTCTTTTTTTCTCCGTTTCTTTTTTGTTTCTTTTCCCCCTTTTTTATTCTTCTCTTTTTTTGTCCTTTATTTTTCTTTATTCATTTCTTTTTTGTTTCTTTCTTAAATTCTTTCTTTTTCCCCCTTTTATATTTCTCTTTTTTGTCATCTTTCTTTCTTTCTTTCTCTGCTGTTATTTTACCAATTAAAATTAGACACAGCTTATCATATAATACTATATATTAGCTGTCTGTATTCGCTTTCCAGATTCTTCCTTCTCTTTTCTTCACATCTCTGGTCTCATCACTCACCTGTCTCTGCTTCATCCTGCCTATCTCTACACACAACACCTCCACCCACCTCACACTCTCCTCTGTTCTATCTTTCAGATTTTTTATTTTTTTTACCTCCCATACCATTCACTCCTCCTCCTGCTTGCATTTTCTCCATACATACAAAAGCCACATGGAGGGTCTGCTTCTAATCTCCACATGCTGGGGTCTGCATTTGTTTTGCTTGTCCAAGGACCCCACAATGCAGTTTCCAGTGCCTGGGACCCACAGAGTGCAGATTTAATTAGATAAGGCGAGTGGTGGAAGAAGCTGGAGAATTGAAATTGGACATGGGGGTTTTTACAAGGAGGGTCAGCTGGTCCTTGGCACTGCATGAGTCCGGCCCAACAATGTACATCACACTGAGAGGGGCAATGAGAAAGTGGAAAGGAAGCAGGAGTGAGGATGAAGAATGGCAATGGCATACTTAACTCTACCCTGGTAGTCTCTAAGGATGTGCTCAGCTTTTGTGCTCACAGCCTATAGGAGGCTTGTGCCACACCTACTCACTGAACTGAGACTGTGAGCCCAGACAAATGTATCCTGAGCCTGAATATCATGATATTTAGTTCATTACTGATCAACACGAGATTTGAATGCTGCAGTTAAACTCAAAGCATGGCTTACAATAGCATGATTGGAAGTTATTTTTTTCTCTTGCACACGTCTGGCTAGGTTTTTGATTTAAGCCAAGCAAGCTTTTAGTTTTCTATGGAGTCTTGGAGGCAAATTAAATTGTTTAAGATTTGTTATTGTCATTATTAGCATTACAAGTTTTGGTGTATGAACTGTATGAAAGAGATGTGGCTGTAGCTACCCCCCCTTAAAGTTTGTAAACCACTTCTTTTGACACCTCAGGGTTTCCACTGTTCCCATTTTGGACTTTCTGAACCAGAGGTGACCATGTATGGACACTGACTGCATCACAAAGAAGACTTTAAACAGGCAGCTGAGACCCTTGTTGAATCACTGTGGTGAGAATTCAACTGAAAATTTATCATCTGGTGTCACACAAACTCCATTTCACAACTAGAATAGTCATACTCTCCTCACACAGATTTATAGCTCAAAGCAGTCACCCTATGGTTGGGTGCGTTCATCAAAAGATACAAATATATGGGGAGTAATCAAATAGAGGCTACTTCACGGACATCACATCCTAACAATATGTTTGCATCAGATATCACTTGACATAGTAAAGAAATCAATTCTGGCTGTCCACACTACATCTATCAAATTGAGCATAGGATTGTTCTGTGTTACTGATAAATCCATAACCAGGAAGTATTTCTCATCCACACAAACTGATACACAGTCGGGAGTCCTGGTATGGTGTTTTATTTTGAAATATAGCAGAGTGGTTTTCGTGCTTGACATCCTGTCTAGAACGATATTCTCTGTGTACATTAAAGGTGGGGTAGGCAGGAGTCCTTTAAAGAAGCATGTTTTTTGTGGTGTATATACAAAAAAGCTGTTAATAGCCGTCAAAGTTATTAGTCATTGATGACATTTAGAAATATCATAATATTGCTGTGTTCTCTTATGCTTGTGTAGTCAACATTTTAAAATTTTGGAGTGGTCTGCTCATTCTGACTGTAAACAAAGCTGTCCTCCACCTCCTTGATCTGACTGGTTGTGAGGCGCACACTGCTCCTTATTGCTGATTGGTTGTAGGGCAGACACTGCTCCCTCGTGTTGTGAGGCACGCTCTTCGTGCACGAGCCCAAACAAGGTTAATGTGCTACAATATTGGACAGTAGAAACCAACCAGAAAGTACGGGAAAATGTCTGAATCCTTCTTTGGCCACGACTGCAAACACAAGCAAGAAAACAAAGTAAATACCGGAGACTCAGGTGTCATATCGGGCGCTTAAAAAGGAGGTAAACTGGACAAGAGCTAAAAAGCCTGGTCAACATAAATAAAGCATAAACGACTCTGTAACCCTTCTGCTGGACAGGTAAACCGCTTTAACAAAGTAATCCAAGTGTCTGTAACAGGAGTGTTTCTTGTCTAACGGGACCTGCTGCATGTTGTAGCGCCGCTAAACTGTTTCCCTCGGGTCCTGGAGTAGGTCACTTTATCCTAGTTGTAGAAGTCCTGCAAACATTGTGTTTGCTGGTAGTCTGTTAGCATCTACAGTAGCACCAATGCTTTTTACTTTCACGTTGACTGGGCCCCATTTGTAATTATCTGAAGTATTTTTCTGCATTATATCTGAATTTAATTAGAACGATACAAGCGAGCAGGAGCGTCTGTTTGTGGGCGGGGCTTGCTGGAGCAGAGAGGAAGAGGAGAGGAGGAGCTGAGGGGAAAACTGGTTGGGAGGGGTAGTGTTTACATTCAAGATTTCTCCCAAAAACTGGCACTTCCTCAGATCCTGCCTACCCCACCTTTAATGTGTGTTGGAAGAATAGAGCAGCAAAAATAAACTTGTGGCGTATCTTTAGCAGAGCTGCACCTAACACGCTTCTGAGATGGAGCCGTGACAGTCCCCGCATCGGATGACCTGTCCCTGACGAAAGCTGTCCCAGATTTAGGCGTTTCATGAATAAGAACAAAAATGTTGCATGTAGACTAGAACAATGCTTATCATGATAGCTGAGTAGGTCGGACGCATGAGTAAGCATGTTGCAGTCCTGAACAACAGTTTTTACGGGGAGTTATTATGGGGGATGTGCGCTGCTACTAAGTAGTACCGAGATGTTGTCTGTGACGGTAGGACCACAACACTTGTAGCATTTCTTGGGCACGTTGGTGTGTAATGGCTCTTCATGCTCCTAATGACTCCAGCATCAGTCCACTCCTTGTGAATCTCCCTGAAGTTCTTGAATCTGTTTTGTTTGACAGTCCTTTCAAGGTTGTTGCTTGGTCACCTTTTCCTCCCTCACTTCTCCTGGCCAGTCAACTTTCTGGTCCTCTGCATCCATACAGCAATGACCTTCAGTGTCTCACCCTCCCTGTGGAGTGAGTCAGTGATGGTCTGCTGGACAGCTGTCAGTCAGCAGTCTCCCCCATGTTGTGTGTTGACTGAACCAGAAGGAGAGAGTCAAGGCTCAGTAAACCTTACCAGGTTGAAGGTTGAGAGCTGCACCTGTGCATATAGGATAGCAGATGAGTGGATCAGTTGTGAAAGTCTAGATTAAGAGAACTGTGTGTTTTTCACTGAATGAATTTCACATGAATGTACTTGGAAACACTGGATGAAGAAAAGGAAACTATTTCTTATTGATGGGGTATGGCTGCTGCATGAACATGAGCAGAACAAGTGTTTAGTGGCTGTTGTGACCTTGGGCAAAAAAATCACTGCCATCATGTAACTGCAGCTGCTGCATTTCAGAGCCAGAGAACAACTATTAGCCGCATGACGCAGCTGGTTTTGATCAGAGAGCAATGGCTGCAGGAGATAAACACTAAGGTTATTGATTTTCAATCGGCTGGCTCAAGGGTGTTTTGGTTTCATAGCTGTTGATTCTCAGTGAACACAATTGTTTTTTCCTCTTTAATTTTGATTTATTCTGCAAACCACAGTCTGACACTTTTAATAAAGAGTTGCAGCACCAAACAGGGAAATCTATAGTGCTATTGTGTGAGTATTGTTGACAGCAGAAGTAGAGTCAGGCATGTCTGCTGAACAGTCCAGAGCTCTGAATGAGCCAGTATGCTCAGCTATTAGGGATGCAACAATATCAAAATCTCATGGTACGATATTGTCACAGTATTACGGCCACGGCTTGGTATAGTATTAGTGTAGTACTGACTTCTTACTCTCCTTGCTTGTTCCTTGGTTTGGCATCACAAATCTCTTCCGAGTGATGGTCCATCAAGCAGCTTCTCAAATTACTTGTGGTCCCTGATTTGTAGATAATTGCAGTCTGGCAGTGTCTGCAACCAATTTTTTGCAAGTCTGTCAGCTTTGCTCCATGTTAGTTCTTGTTTATCAAACAAAAATGTCTCCATACTTATGATTTAAACTTTGCAGGAGGTTCCATTACTAAAAGTTTTCTGCTCTGCTCCCCCTCTGTACTATCTGCCATCTCTTCCTGCACTGTGCAGGGTATCATGGGAGATGCAGTTTGTTTCTCAGACTGGCCCACTCAATAGCGCCAGAAAATAACTACACTGGTGGTAGTACTCCAAATTCTTGTTTGATACTGTCACATGCCACGGTATTATTGCGAGAGTTTTGAAACTGAAATACTGCAATATTTACAATACCGTTACATCCCTATCAGCTATACATTACTGCCACTTCTAAATTTGACCCCTTGGTGTACCAAGACTTTTTCAGTACACTGGGAACTTTTAACAGTTGCTAGTACTCTTTTCTCTCCTCAATATTACAGTTTCCCTGGTATTCATAATAACAGTTACCAGACATTACACATGTATGACACATAGAGGAGCTGAAGCAGTCCGTCACTAATGTAGAGTCTGCAGTAAATGCATCCTATGATAATCATGATGGAAAGTAATTCTATGTTTGACTGATTTTGGCTGCATGATAGTCACACCAACAAGAGAATGAGGGAAACACTAGCATCTATTTTTTTATCCTTTAATAGTACTGGAGTGATCCACCTCGTTTCAGCAGCACACTGAACAGTTTGTGTTATTGTAGCTGTTTTGATGCAGTGTCCCTGTTGTTCATCCCCTGCCAGGCCTAATTCTCACTGTGGTTTTGACTTAATAAGAGACAATCAGAGTGTAATTTTGGAGCATCCTGCGCTCTTTTGTCTGGAGAGGGCACACCAATTGTCTTTCCTTCACAGCCCCACAGGCTTTTACAACCATGTGTCTGTTCTGTTGAAGAACTCTCCCATGTAGGCTCCTCTCACATTTACTCTTCCCGCTGTTTTCTCCATCTCCCTCCTCCCCCTCCTCCTCCTCCTCCTCCCCCTTTACAGTCTATCTCTAGAGACGCCTCCATGTTGATCCATGAACCAGCCAGACTCTCAGGGGCCCCAATCAGTTTAAGTTTCCTATCACAACTTTCTTAACTGTTCTTTAACCTACTACTACTACACACACACACGGGAGAGCTCCAAAACAAAGATTTTATTTCATATACATGTTGCACTTTTGTTTGCTTTGTCTTCCTTTATGAATACAGTGTGTCATGTTTTCATTTTTTTTGTTTTAATCTGTTACATATCTTTACATATGTTGTTAAAATTATTTTTTAAAAACCAGATTAGAATCTTTCTGATTAGAGATTCTCACTCCACTGTTTACTTTTAGCCCCAAAGATTGACCTAAGGCACGTTTTAACATTTAACCTGAATAAAAGTATTTCAACATGTTTTGAGTTACTCTGCATTTCTAACTTATCAAAAATGGCAGAAGATGCTGTTCCTGTTGGAAACCAACACTGCAGTCATTTTACATAATGTGTTCATATTCGAATTTCAATATAATATGCCTCAATATTGCTCCTCCTCTGTCCCCTTGTTCTACACCAGAGATTTTACTCTCCCCCCTTTCTTACATCTGAGACGTAAAGTCAATCAATCAATAAATCAGTTTTTATTTATATAGATCCAATTCACAACAAATGGTATACCAAGAGGCTTTACAAAAAGAGCTGGTTCAGACCATACTCTACAATTATCTTCACATAGACCAACACCATGTGAAGATGAAGTCCTATTTAATAAGATCAGGCCCGCTCACATCCCATCTTTAACCACAGGAGTGTAGCATTTAATCTACACAGAGAAGATCATTCTAGACAGGGTGTCAAGCACTAAAACCGTGCATGTCATTTCAAAATAAAAAAAATATATGCAGACTTCTGACTGTGTATCAGTTCGTGTAGATGAGAAATACTTCCTGGTTATGGATTTATCAGTAACACAGATCAATCCGATGGTCAATCCCTGATCCATGTGGACCCCAACAGGACTTTTAACTGCTGACTCTGTCTGAAGGTAACAGCACAGCATAAAGGAACATAGTTTACTTTATTAAACATGAGTAAACCTGCAAAAACCCAAACTGTAAAATCACGTTGATTTTTCACATATAGTTGAAGCTCAACAGTCACTGAATTATATCCAAATTAGCAGGAAATAGACCACAGAAAGGAAAAACAACCTGCTGTGAGCATGTTGTTTCCTCTATAGTAAGCCTAGCTGACCGGGGCTGCACTACGCTACTGCTACACTCCAAATACACATTCTGCATGTAATAGACAGCACTGCTCGACGGAGCAGAGATACGACGCTGACCGAATGCAGTCAATACTGATCCTGTATATTTTCGGCTTAAGAGTCATCTGCTGCAACTGTATGGGGTTTAGAGTGGGGATAGAGGGAGATGCTGAAAGAGAGAGATGAACAGAGACAACCAACAACAACAATAGTACTGACTTAAGGTTACAGTACCAGAGGGAACAAGTATGTGAACCACAGGAACAGCATCTCATGATAACAAACTGTTTTTAGTTTGGTTTATGGCAATGTTTGTGTCAGGTCAGAGAAGAGTGAAAATATGAATGGACATAAAAGTACAGCACCTAAAATTCCCAAATAGATCACAGACAATCTAGTGGTTTTAGTACAGGACTGTTGGAATTAGCCTAATGAGGTGATGATTTTCTGTGGCTGATAACCTTTGTAGCTCTCTGGCTGCTTTCTGACCAGGCTGCTATACTTGTTCTTGACAGGTGAAGTACCTCATACAGCCCCATTTAAAAAAAAAAAGAAAATAAAAAGAACTACCCCTTTAAGATGTCTGGAGTTATTTACACGATCAAGATGTTTAAGAATCCTGAAGACATGATAAGATCAAAGGTTCAGGTGACTATGATCTGAGTCACAGTCGGTATAAATTACCCTCTCCATCAAGGTTGAAATCTCTTTCCAAATAGGCTGGATCAAATCATCCTCTTCTGATTGAGGTGTTTACATAAAGCATTTTTATTCTGATCAGACCATTATAAGAGATCCAAACAAAGCTATCAACCACTTACTGTGGTGAATCTGTTTCAATGAAACACATGTATGACACTCCCTAAGATAAAACAGACCTCTCAATCTTAATTGAAACCCCACCCAGTAAAATGTGTGTCACGTCCAAAAGAAGTCAACCTTTTCAACTCGTGAATGTGGAAATATGTTGGATGTTGTTAAGTTGGACAACTAGGAAACAAGGGTACATGATGAGCTACTTCCAAAATTGATGGGATTTCTCATGATCAGTCAAGTCAATCAACAAATATTAATAAGAGGATTCAACCCCCAGCCACTGCTTCATTTGAGTCCTATCACAACAACGACATGACAGTACAGTAGATGATTTCCCTCAGTTTTGTCTGACCCAATAAAACATTCTTCTTGGTATATGTCCTTGGACAAAAGCAAGTCTTCTCTCATGATAAAAACTGCCCTGCGCTTATATCACATGAGTATGTATGTCAGTGAGTACGCAGCAGACATTACAGACTTGTTGTTCTGTGTGAACTCCTCTCTCTGTTTATCTTTTACAGATTCCAGCTGAACTCGCTGAAAGGACAGTGGCCAAACATCTGTGTGCTGGCACCGAGCGGGGGACAGGTCTGCAGCAGATTGGTAATGTGCATGGAAAAACGTGCAGGCGCACTTACACAGAGCAGATGAAGCTTTTACACACACATTACCGTGCACATGTTCAAATGCAGTTATAGACTTAAACAGTTGAGCCCAGAATCACTCATTGCTTTGTATTTAGCAGGTGCTCAATAATCCAACTTTCAACACTGACATGGAGCGGTGTTGCAGCTGGAGGAAAGAACCAAGGCTCATGCACACCTTTCAGTACAAGGAGGATACAATAAAGTCAAAAAATGAAAAATATAAGGACAATCTATTCCACAAACTCAAATCTCAAGATGCCAAAACAAAAGCCAGAAAAAGGTTATCACCTAATTTCCAGCACACAGATGTGATTGTTTCAGCTGTAATGCTGTTCCAGTTGGCGTTTGTCCTCTGAGCGAAAGATGTTATTAAGCCTCTCTCCCTCATGTTTTCCTTTTCAAATGTTGTTTTTCTTTCATGAAGGTTGTATATCTGTGACTGAAACCGTTTTCCACTGTTTGGGATGACATGGAACACCTGCTGCTCATGAACTACACTTACACTTTACTCCAACACAAAGATTTTCCTGTTCTCACTGTTACAAAGTCAGGGACACTGAGAAACAGACCCTGATAGAGGTGATGTTCACTAAACTACAAACTCTTTTTTGGATCCATACCTCCTTGTCTCTTTTGGCCACTTTTCTCTTGGCAGCACTAAAATCTATCATGTCAAGAAACCAGACGTGATGACTGTGTAGAGCAGCAGTGATAAAACAGCAAAGAAACCTTGCCAGTTGAATTTTCATAGACCGCAGTATAATCATATTTCTGAGGAACCTAAGTAAAGTCGGTCTGACAGCATTGTTTTGATGTTCCTCTTTTTTCCCTGTGAAAAACAGCAGGTTTGTGTTTGGGCAGATGGACGGGAGTTGGCTGATGCTCCCCAGGGATGAAATCAACTCTGCCGTAGACCGAAGTCCATGTTTATCTTTGGACTTTATTAGATGTTGATGTTGGCTGTGTGAGAGAACCACTTGTATAAAAAACTATTTTTAAGGGAAAGGGAAAAGAATGGAAGGTGGAGGAGTGGGGGGCGTTTTTGGATTTCATCAACTGTACATCTAGATAAAAAGACACATATGAACACAGGAATCCAGCCTGTTGTTTTGCACATATAGTACGTGTTGTCCCAGGAATGCAGTTGAGAAGTAGGACTGAAATCCCTTCATCTCCACAGCCAAAGTAGTCAGGTTTGACCCTGCCTTCAGTGACTTGTGACCTGATGGATGGGTGTTTTCTTAGGGAGAGCTGTTGTCCTTAAGAGGCTCCGTCATGATGCAGCAGCTGTCTGTCACACTGCTGGATGCACAGCTTGTGAGTTTAGATTTCACACTCAGTACAAAGCAAAATGACCCAGTCTTGGCCCAGTGTGTGTGTGTGTGTGTGTGGGAATAACACTATGTGTGCTTTGTCAGCACTTGGAAATCACACTGCTCAGAACTTCACCTACAGCTGGACTTTTGGATGTTTTTGGTTGCCTTCCCTTTAAATAAGCATTAGTCATGTTTGTTCAAACCATGTGTAGAAAGCAGTCTTCTAGCAGCACACCAGAGTTTTACCTGGCAACATGCAACAGAAAAACTCTAGAAGTTTCACATTTGTATTTTAGCTCTTTGGATGCCTTTTCTGCTTCCTCTGCATCGTTACTAATGGGTTTGGTCCTTCCTGCACCACCTGGTGCATTTCAACAAAGCAGTCAGTAACCGTTTGGTATGGCATGGGACTCAGGTATTTGCATTTTAATTGTCAAAAAAAGTTGGTCCCATAAATAACCAATCCACACTGTCCTACATCTTTGGCACCCTTCTATTGGAGTACCTAACGTACCTATCCAAGCTTAAATGATGGAAGTAGACACACTGTAAAGCCTTTTTTGTACTTTCTGTCTGTATCAGGAATGCTCTCTGGTGTTGTCATGTGTCAGGGTTGGTTATATCAGTGAATGTTGTGCTGAAATGTATAGGTGCTCAGTTTACACAAAGCCCCCAGCTGAGCAGTGAGAGGGGCAGAGAGGTGGATGTAATGGAGAGGTAGCTGCACAAGAGGAAATATCGTTCATATCCTGTATGTATCTGTCTACTGTATGTTTCTTAGAAAGGATGAACTGTTAATTGGAAATTTCCCCTTGACAGACTAATAAAGGAGAATCTTATGTTATCCTTATCACCTGCAGCCAGTGATATTTTTTACAAACTTTTACCATCAAAAGTTAGTTGTAGGCACCTAAAAGAGCTGTGCTAGTTACTTCTTTAACCTAACGACAGCCCTGGAGACAACCTCGGAATGAAAGCATTGTGCTAAAACAGGGAGGTCTCTCCTCAGAAAGAAAGATTTTCGGCTTTACTTTAACAGCATTGCAGAAATGCTTCTGTGTCATATTTCTTTTATAGCTGATATGAAGCCAGTCCAGCTAAGTTCTGTGCACAGCTCACAGAGAATCAGACAAGCCCCTTTTTCTATGAGATGGACATGAGAGGTGCTGCTCACAACATGGTATGTCGCAGCTAATGTCAGGAAACAGAGCAACAGACTATAGAGCTGGAGAGCATGTCTACACTTCTTTTTGCTGCCTCATGTGGGTATGACCACATGTGCTAATGTAAAATACATCCATGTCATCAACTGTGCAGTCAGGTTTTTGTGTTTGTTCAGTCCAAGAGAGAACATGTTTGGCTGTGACTGGAGGTGAAGTCTGACGCCAAACTAAACAAAGAGGTGTATCTGCTTTCCCTATAAAAAAAGAAGCGAGTTGCACTCTCGTGTCCACTGAATTTAGTCAAAACACGCTCTTTTCACGCACAGCAGTCAGTCTTGTGAGTTCTTTGTTTTCATGGTTAATGAGGAACAGAATCAATGAGCTCTTTGCCTTATTAAAGGGATCATTAATTTCAAAAACAAATACATGGTATTTGGAAAAATTACACCATAAACAAACTGACTCGATGACTGAGCCCATGACACACTGTTAGTGGTAATAAAGAAGGACCACAGAAGTAAAGGAAGGAACAAAATCAGAAGGGTTGAAGGGAGACATATTAGTCCCTGAGATCATCACCGATGGTTGGTTGAAATGATCACCACCCCACCCCCAACCTCCTGTGCCTGTCATCTTATTTATTGATCCAATCCTCAATCCCTGGGTTTATTTTATTTTTTTAATCTCCTTTAAAACCTCTGTACTAACTGTGTGTGTATGAGGGCTGGTGTGTTAATGTGGTGTCAGAGACATGAAGGTTGGCCTTGTACACAGAGTTAGAGAGTCACTCTCCAGAGTTTTGTCATTCAGAGCCCATCTGATCTACATTACCACCTTAGACTGTATATACTATGGACAACTTCGCTCCACCTTTTGCCATTATACAAATTTGAAGCTGAATTGCTCTCAGTATTTCTGGGATTTTTTCCACTTCCTGGAACCACCACTTGCGCAGTAGCGTTGTACAAGAGTTGCTGTGATGACGCTCGGCTCAAACAGCGTGTACCCCAGATGAGCTATGCAATCCTCGTACACCCATAGGCTGTATCAAGTGTCAATCATAGAAAACACGAACCCCCTAATTACTTTTTAAATGGAGCTGCACAGAAAAAAGAGGACTTGAGCACAAACCAGTCTTACAGTAACTACATGTCAACATCACAACCAGGGGGGAGAAAAATGTCTATTCTGTGTAATAAATTTTTGTTTTTGTGGTGGTTTCACCCAGTGAGGAGGCAGACGGCATCCATTCCATATTCAGTCAATGGTTACCATTTACATAGAACTCCTGATATACTACCCAAAACAGATGGTCAACTCTCTCATGTCTGCAAACTTTAAAACAAAATCGATGAAATTATGTAAAAAAAAAAATCAAAACTGATTTACAGGGTCATATTGATGATTTAGAAATTTCTATACGTGTTTTTATTGGATCACTGTACGACATAGCAGAAGAGGTAGTTTTGTGCATTGGTGAAAAGTTTTATTTGTTTTTTTTTTCACTGATAAAGTGAACCAAAAAGCATTGTCAAAAAAAATAAAATAAAAATACTTATTTTAGATTCACAAAGTGTAGCATGAAGTTTTAAAGAGCTCCAATAATCTGGATTTGGAAATCCTTAGGTTAATCTGATTTACTTTCTTATTGACAAGAAGGATTTGAATTTTGTGGTCTTGGGTGGATAAACAAGGGGATTTCCAAACCTCTTTATCTAAAGGTCTTGCTATTTTTCTCTAATCAATCAATCAATGCTATTTGTATGTTGATAAACTTTCACAGTAAACATTTTTTTAGTTCATATTTCTACCAAAAGAAACCGTTACAGTTTGGTGTAGATGTAGTAAATAGACCTCTAAGGGAGGTAAATGTGAACCGTAAATTTGATATGGTGGCAGTGATAACAGATCTCCCTCATGATTGGCTCAAGAAAGCAGGCCACAGGGTAAAAAAGGTGTGGGATAGCAGGTAATTTGTGTTTGTCACACCTAAAGAGAGCCTGTGAGTGTTTCCAAGGACATTAAAATAAGGAAATGGTCAAGTTTAAGACGGATTTATTCTGTCTTGGTCACCAGTCCATCCCATACTGACAGAAAACAGACAAACACACACACACAGACACACACTCCTGGGTGCTTCAACCCCCCTCTCACCCCATCTGTGGCCCATGAAATCAAGGTGCTGATGAGCAGCCCCTATCAGCAGATACCATCTTGGCCTTGTCATCAGTGGCTTGCATGGTCACAGAGAAGGGGCCTGATGGCTTCGTCTTTCAAAGACTCTTCACCAGCTGCTACCTCCCCTTGAATTCCTTCTCTCTCCATCTCTTTATGCTACATTTATTACTTGCACTTAGATAATATCCTGTCTGATTGTCTTTTTTCCTCCGCAGGGTCAAATTGCAGTGACTCTGAAACCACCAGCCTTTGGAAAAAGTGGGGGTGTTGAAACCTTGACTTCATCATCATGTCTGTCATTTTCTCTTTGTTTGTTTGAATTTCCTCAAAGTAAGAAGCTGAAAACTTGACGAGCTTGATGTCTGTTTCTTTTCAAAGTTTCACGTATTACATT